CCGCGCCCCCGGCTCCCGCCGGCGCCCTGCGACTCGCCGCGCTGTTGTTGCTGGGAGCGGTGGTCCCGCGCGGAGGTGCCGGCGCGCGCCCGTTGACATCCAGTTCGTTAAAGCCCCCAGGAGCCGCGGGCCGGAGCCCGCCTGGCGCTCCCGGGCCCCTGGGCATCGCCCGCCCTGCCTGTGTCCCGGCCGCGACGGGATGCAAAGCCGGGCGAGCTCCTGTTCTGCTCGCGCTCGGGCATCCCGGGGCGCGGGAGGGGGTCGTCGGGGAGCTGGGGCCGCCCGCGCCCTGGGCCTGAGGTCCCTGGACAGCGCCCGAGATGGAGGGGCCAGCGAAGTCCCGAACCTCCGTGAGCCCCAAGCGGGGCCTGCGCGCAGGGTTGGGGGCAGTTGCGGTTCTGAGCCAGGGGTCTCGGAGGGGGACACTTCTCCGCTGGGCCAGCGCTGCGGGCCACCCCAGCCCCCCAGGGCGCCAGGCTGTCCTGCCTGCCTGTGGGGAACGCGCCTCTTGAGCGCGGGACCAGGGCAGGCCTGCCCAGGGCGTGCCTGGCCGGACCTCTTTTCCAAGCTGAGGCTGCAGGGTTGCCTGGCTGGGCCCCGCCTTCCCGCAGTACAGTCCCGCCGTGAGAAACGGACCCCGCGGCAGCCCTCCGCCAGGCCCCGGCTGGGACCGCCTCTCCGGCGCCCTTCCCACCCAACCCAGCATGCCGAGCCTCTGCGCCCGCAGGCCGCCTGCTGCCCCAGGGACAGGCAGTGGCCGAGCCCCCGTGCAGGTGGCGGCTCTGGGCACCCTGCTCTGTGGCTGTCGTAGGGCCCAGAGCGGGTCCTGAGCTGGCGTCCACCTGTCTGTGCTGGCTCCTGAGGCCCTGTCACGCCCAAGCCTGTTGCCCTCCCCCTGCTGGCACTACTCCCCGGCCGCTGCCTGCCTGCTGGACTGTGGCTGGACCCCGCAGGCCCACCAACGTCTGGGGGTGCCTGACCCTTGGCTCGCGGGGACTGACCTTTGACCACGAGCCTGCCCGCACCTTTCCAGGCCTCTTCTACACCTTGGGACCCTCACATCCACATAGGCCCTGCCTAGCACCCCAGGGGTGCCCGCCTGCCTCTGCCTGGCCGAACCCGGCGTCCATGTCTGGGCACCTGGGTCATTGTTCCAACATCCGTGTCACCGCGGCACTCTGCACTGTTGGGGGAGGCGTGCCCGGCCCGGGGCGCTGACAGGCGGCCAGCCTGGGGCCCCAGCGGACCACGGCCACTGCCCGAGCCCCTGGGTTTGAATTCCTCAGCAGTAACTGGCGATCGCAGCACCGAGGGGAAATGACTGGGGTGCTCTGTAATCGGGGGACTGAGGGCCCCTGAGCCAGAGCCAGGCATCCAGGAGCCCTCGCTGGTGGGGTCAGGCACGTGGGCCAAGGGACACGTCCAGCGGTCCTCCCCGGGGCGCTGGGGGTCCTTTGTCTAAACTTGACTGGACACGAGTGTGCAGCCTCCGGGCACCAACCAGCCCCGTCGGCAGCTGTGAGTCCAGCAGCGCCGGCCACGCCAGGCTGCTCACCGCAAGCCCAGTGGCTTCTGGCAATGCCCACAGACCCCTGCACGTCCACCTGCCACAGTGACCACCTGGCCATGGCGGTCTCTGTCTGACGCCGGGTTGGCTCAGCACCCCCCCCCATGGCGCTGCCCGGCCTGGCTGGCGTGGGAGCCGGGAGGCCCCTCCGGCTGTGTGGGCCTCGTGGGCTCTTGGGGAGACGCCCCCTGCTCCCCAGGCCGCCTGTGCTCCTCCGGAAGCCTGAAGGGCCCCCCGCCTCACAGCCCCAGGGCAGAGGAGCCCCAGGGAGCACTGACTCCCTGCCCCGGCCTTGCACCCCCAAGAGGGGAGCCTCTCCCCGTGGGGGGCAGCTGGCTGGGGCGGGTGGGAGCCAGGGCTGAGGCAGGGTGACAGCCGGGCACCCCAGTGGCTGTGGGTGGCCATCGCCACTGTGCCCCCTTCCTCACCTGGGAGCTGCCGGCCTAGGCCCCTCGCTCACCCCAGAGGGGCTCCCTGTGGGCCCCACAGCGGAAGGAGTGGGCAGCCCCAAGGGGCGGTGAGCAGGCGCCTGGGCCTCGGCCGTCCTTCCCCAGCAGCCCTGCGCTGGCTGTGGGAGCCGCCTGGCGCTCCCCGGGCTCCCCGCAGGGGCAAGGCGGCGCCCTCCACAAGGCAGCTGCCACCGCAGAGGTGGCCACAGAGGACCCTGTGGGCACTGCCGGTTCCAGCCCGGGCTCCTGCAGAGGCCTCCTGGGGGCTCGGGGCGGGGTCCTGTTCCCTGTCCCACTGCGGTGGTCAGTCCCGAAACTGGTACCAGAGGATGGTCGCAGGGCCCATGCCCCGGACCCTATGTGGGTGCTGCTTTGGCACTTGAGCACGGACCTTGCTCACATGCAGCGGTGGCCGTCCCGATGGACACAACTGCACGCCCCCGGCCAGGAAGGGCTTGACGGAGAGGTGGAGCCAGAGGCCTCGGGGCCCCGGGCCGGGCTTCCCCGCATAGGGCAGGCGAGGGGACCCTGCCGCCTGGCCCTCTGACCCTTGCCTGGAGGGCCGGCCACCCTCTGTCAGAGCAGGCCCAGTGCCCTGAGGAGGAGGGTCACTGAGCGGGGGCAGCAGAGGTGTCCTGGGCCTGCAGCCTCCAGGCCGCAGTGTCCTGCTCACGGGGTCCTGATGGAGACGCCCCCCAAGCCCCGGAACAGCCTACCGGGACGCCCGTGAGCGCCACACGTGGCTCCAGGGCCGTCCGTGGGACAGGGTGGCCAGGTCCACACTGCCCAATGGGGTCCCGCTGCCCAGCCCTCCCTGGAGGCCGCGCAGGGGTTGTGCCGTCCAGAGCAGGCTGGGCAGGAGCAGCAGAGGCGGAGTCCTGCCACCATACTACGTTTATTGAGGTCGCCACCCGCGAGAGGCCCCGGGGACCCAGCCCCTGCTCCCCAGACCTCCCGAGGGTGGTCGGCAGCCGGGGGCGCCGCGGCCAGCCACCTGCACAGGACTGGGGGCAGCTGGGAGTGCCCAAGAGCCTGAGGGGCGCGGGCGGGAGGGGAGGAGGGCAGGGTCGAAGTGCTCTAGACAAGGCGACCTAAGGAAGCCAGAGCCCAGTGTGTCTTGTCCTGCAGGGCTCGGCGCCGGTCCAGGGCCTTAGCCGGACATCTCCTCGCGCTGCTCCTTGTTCCTGCGGACCTCGGCGGCGTGCAGCTCCTGCGGGGACCGGGACCCGGGCCGGGCAGCTCGCCACGTGCCCTGGGCCAGCGTCGCGCCCAGACCCGCCTCTGTGGCTCCCGTATCCTCCCGGGGTGCAGGCCCTGGGGACCCCCGGGCAGAAGCAGAGGGTGCCCCTGGCGGGGCTGCTCCTTACCCTGGGCTGGCCCCCCACAGGTCAGTGCTGCGTGCGGGGCCCCAGTGGAAGGGGCTTCTGGGCTCACAGCCTGCGCA